TCCAATAAAGCTGATCTCATTGTATGATGAGGGATGCTTACAGCACACAGCAAAGCTTTGAACAGATACAACCCATCATCTTTCAGTAATGCACAACAAAAGAAAAAACAAACACAGGCAGTTCTGAAATATCCCTGCTCGTTTCAGACGCTGACCATCAGAATTTCAACTCCAATAGGCACGAATTAGTTTCCAGGCAAAGAAGCAGACATAAAAGAGGAAGGGATTTAAAGAATTCCTCATGGGGTTTTGTCAACTTTTTTTTTCTGCTTGGTCTGTGGGGAGAGGGCTCAGCTGTGATTTCAGCCTCTTTTTTTTTCTTTTTAATTAACAATGAACTTCACAGTTGACTACATAAAACATGGTAAATTTTTGTACATTTCTCACTGTATCTTGTCTAATCACTTACACAATGTCTATTACTTTTTGGGATGAATACAGGAGAAGTTAGTAAAACTGTAATCTTAAAAAGAAAAGTTAAAGTACTCTCTAAGAAGGTCCTTTCCAACCCTAACCATTCTATGATTCTATGATCTTAAAATGACTTCGTTTTCAGTATTTGCATTACAGATCTTACCATTCACACACTTTATTTTGTTTGACCTCTCTTCCAATCATGCAGGCACAATATACAGAGCATCCTTGCTAGATATCGGCAGGAAGGGAAATTGGAGGTGTGATCTGCTCGTTGTACCGCGTACACCCCTGGAAGTGCTTCTGTTCTTACACCCGTGCATCCACTCCACTATTTCTGATCTGAGAAATTCTGAAATATTTCAGTTCAGGAGGTGCATTTCATGGAATAATGAAATGGGAAGAAAAAAGAAAGATTAATTAATATCTGAGTCATTGCAAAGCCAAAAGCCACCCAGCATCTGTTGCAGGCAGGTGCCACTTGTAGAGGTTTTCACGCTCCCACCCGCTCGCTCTGTGCCATCGCTATCAAAGAGACAGCACAGCCATGGCAACGACTCCAAAATAGCTAACTCCTCAGAGTTATGCAAGACTCTCCAACCGATCCTAGTTTTCACATTTTTTTAATTTAGAGCTTTGCTCTTTGCTTCTCTACCTTCTTCCTTTTTTCAGGCTTACACATGCCACATACAGTATATTGAAAAAAACATTGAAAAAGCTCAGCATTATCCACGTTTTACCGTCCCCCAAGCCTACCGTGGGACTGCCCCAGCTGATCCCTTACTTCAGCTCTTCTGGGGTCAGCCGATGTGGGAGAAACAATTGCACCCGCTCCCTCTGGCTCCCCCTCCCCGCAAAAGACTCAACGCGTCCTTCCCACACAATGGCTGAGCCCCACTGGCCCAGAGCCCATGAACACTGAATGGTTTTTCTGATTCAATTAATTCAGCGGAATTACACCAGCCCTTTACCCCCACCTCATCCCGGGGAAGCCCAGGAGGTTGTTTCCTTTCCTTTTAGCAAGACCCATAGAGTATCATCTTCCTTCACGGAAGCTCACAGCTTGCTGAGAGAGTCCCTATCAGACACCAAAATATATCATAGGAAAAGCAGCAAGATTCTGCAAGGCTCAAGGATTTCCGGTTCATCAGTGGCTAACCACAAAGGAGCACCTCTTCTACTGCTCTGGTACTGTTTCTTCTTTATTTTTAATTAAAACCTTACAATACCTTGATATATATTATAAGCTTTTAATTAAAAATAGAATCATGTGATTCTATGATTCTATTTTTAAGTAAAACCTTGTAATACCTTGTATCTATCTCTCTGCATTTTTTTTTTCTGTTCACTTACTGTGAAACAGCTGAAGCTTTCATACCATGGTGGTGTTTGTTTTGAGGATCAATCATTTCAGACGTTTATGCCTGGAACAGAAAAAAATGTTCTTTAGGAGAGACAGCACTGTATAGTTATTGTGTTGGGGAAGATGACCTTTATCTTTATTTTCCCTGGGATTCTGCAAGACAATAAAGCATTATGTGATGGCCAACAAGGACCGAGCAAAATCTGTGCCTCTTGCAGATACAATCGTCCAGCTGAAAGCTGCTGTGCGACCTGATTTCCTAACGCTTATCACAATCTCCTGTAGTATCAGTCCAGGAACCTCAATCCAACAGAAAAGACCCCAAAAAGCAGGTTCACTCTTCTCTTTTCCCATAACAGAGAGGAAAGAGAGAAACTGTGGCTCGTCTCGGAGGAAACCTTTTGTAAAGGTGTTGGTGGAAGTGGTAAAAACCTGTAGCAAAAGGTGCATCATAAAGGAAACGCAGATCCTGGGAAATTACAAAACCCATCAATTCATATAAAATATAGAAAATAATTCTGGCTACTAAAAAGGTCTCATTTTGACCCTTCTCAAATTAAATCAAAGCAGCTCTTTTGGGCTTGAACTGAAGTTAAACTCCAAAGGGCTCAGAAAAAAGAAAAAAAAATAACAAGTAGAAAATAAACTCAAATAGTAGAAGGTAAGTAACAGAAGAAACAACTACATTAAGTGAACATGAATAGTTTATTTAAAATTGTTTCAACATGTCTTGAAATACTGGCTTTTTGGTTTTTGGGGTTTTTTTGTGGTTTGTTTTGGGTTTTTTGGTTTGGATTTATTTTTTTTTTCATTCGGCCATCACTTACGGCCAATGGCTGTTGTAACTCTAAAACTGGGAGCATCAGAGGGATCGATTCCCACTAGCACCCATTTAACTGTACAAAATGAGTGGAGTAATTTTATGCTTTGGTATTTATTTTTTTATTACAATCTCTTATTTTACTCAGATCAGATCTCTGCCTTGAATTTTTATGTATGTACACACATGAACCAGCTTATACACATCTATAACATTTATACACAGACCCTCCCAAGGGCTTTGGAAACAGACCTTACGTAAGAACGTGCTCTACCAGTTGTAATTCAAGAGTACTGTGTATACATCTTGGTTACAGAAAGAACAAGACGTTGCACAGAGAATCCTCCATTTCCACACTCACCAATTTCTCCATCCACTCAGAGCATCAGTGCTATGAGCAGTACCTGGCTACACAGACCACAACTTTACAGTATTTATCAGGGAGGGATGTGGTCATCAGCAGCTGCATTTCTTGCTAACGAGCTCGACACAGCACCAGCAGAGACCTTTTATGAGAATCACAAGACATCTGATTTTAGAGCAGTCCAAGAAAGTTTCAATGGGCAATTTGAAAAAAAAAAAAGTCACATTACAGTGTTTCTCAATGATACTTTGAGGATATATGAAAGCTCAATTCTGAAAATTCTCTGTTGTTTCAATAATTATGAAAATCATAGTGCCTTAAACCATTTCACTGGACTTCCAAGGTTTTACAAAAGCTTATTACCTGTGTCTCATCCCCAAGAAACGAGCATTCGTGCCCATTCTATACAATAAGAAACCAAGTTCCAAAGTTCACCTGCAGCCTTCCCATTCTCTTTTCGAAATGCCAGACAACATGCATGCTCATTAGTGATGGCAGAGGATCGGGCAACAACTTCTTCTAGAGTTAGGCCTGATGACAAAAGCCTATGCAGAGTTTTCTGCCAAGGCTAGAGCTGAAAGTAGGTCAGCCTGCGTGATTTCTTTTGTTAAACAGGAAGCATTTGCTGTCACCTTCAGCCTTTGCAAATCAAACATTTCGAAAGGCAAGAGGACCTGGTGGGTCACAGCTGCACAGAGTTCACTATTTCAGTGTCTGACAACAAAGCTGGATCAGAAACAAGATACAGAGACAGTGGGAAAGACTGCTACATGGCATCTTACCTGACCTTGAAATTCTCTCCAATTTTTGATTAAAGATGCAGCCTTAGTGCTCTGAGCAATTTTTTTCTGCTGAAATTCCTGGAGCTGGACCGGTGTATGAAATGCACGTGGTACCGCATGGCTGAGAAGGATGGGCAAGACCAGCAGACGTGCCAGATGCCATTACTTCAAGCCCTCTAGACAAAAATAATGCCATTAATCAGTGTTTCCAGTGACTGCTGACACACTTTATTGGGATGGCAGCCCTGGGGCAGTCATCCTGTCGGCGATAAGCTCCCAAGTAGCGTCTCTGATCCTAAAGAGTGCATTGCTTGAGTTGCATCTTTTTTAAAGCACTTATTTTAAGAATTAACTGACATTTAACTTGCAATCCATTTTCCATAGAATCACAGAATGGTTTGGGTTGGAAGGGACCTTAGAGCCCACCCAGTGCCACCCCCTGCCATGGGCAGGGACACCTCCCACCAGCCCAGGTTGCTCAAAGCCTCATCCAGCCTGGCCTTGAACCCCTCCAGGGATGGGGCATCCACAGCTGCTCTGGGCAACCTGGGCCACTGCCTCTAGTTTGTTAGTTCCAGTTAGCTTTTCTAACTCTTCTTACTGCAGGGGAAAGTGTTACTGTTCACAAGTTCAGCAAACCAAGCAGATGACAAGCATTCCATCTTTTAAAACCTCCTGATGTAGCAGAGGTTTCAGTGACCCCATCATATATTTCTGCCAGTCTGATCACAGGCTGGGACTGATGCTGGCCATGCTCAGGAGGCCCTCAGATGCATCCAGAGACAACAGCACAGGGCTGTTGTGTGCAGCCCATAATCCAAAAGGCAATTGCTCTTCATAAAGCACATCTGCTGAGGTCCTGGCAGAGGCTTACCCAAGTTGGACAAGCTTCACTGTGCAGCAGCTGCAGGATCCCACCTCGGAGCTACCTAACACGGCCAGCTGCATCCGTGCCAATGTGATGGGCTCACTCTTGGCTGGGAGCCAACCCCACCCACACAGCCGCTCACTCACTCCCCCCTGCTCCTGGGGATGGGGAGAGAATTAAAGGGGTAGATAAAAAAAGACTCCTGGGTTGAGATAAGAACAATGTAATAACTAAACTACAATAATACTGGAAATAGTAATATATACAAATATACAAATGAGTGACACACAGTGACACTGCTCACCACCCCATGACCAAGGCTCAGCCCGTTCCCCGCTAACGATCCCAGAGCAGGGAGAGTCCCGAAACCACACTCCCAGAATGGAGATATGAGCCCGAGTGTCCCAGGCCAAGGGCTGACCAAGGGAGGGAGACAACCCAGTGAGAGGGACCACCCCGAGAGAGCCGACCTGGAAAGAGCTGATCCAGAGCAAGAAGGGGTCTGGAACAAAAAGGTACGAGCTTCCAGAGAGCCCTCACCTCTATACTGGGCATGATGTACATGGTATGGAACAGACCATTGGCCAGTTTGGTCTCAATCCCAAACCTAAGATCAAATCCCAGGCTGGTCACTGGGGCTGTGCTCCCTCCCAGCTCCTCCTGCCCCTGCAGACACGGGCACAGCAGAGAGGCTGAAGAGACCTTGACTGTCCTGGCAGCAGCTCTGCCCATCAGTGTGTGATCAGCTTTTCCTCAGCACAAACCCAAACACAGCCTCACACCAGCTGCTGGGAATATAGGTACCTCCGTCCCAGCTGCACCAGGAGAGCCAATAAGGCTGAGTGCACAAAAGCACCCTTAGCTCCATTGCAGCTCAGCAGCTGTGCGCTGTCCTCTGAAAAAAGGGTTATTCAGGAGGTGTTTATTGCAGAGCAATTATCACATCCACATCAAGAAAATAATTTAATTTTTTTTCTCCACATTTTAAGATGAGCTACTTACGCCCTGCTGGGAACCCACTGCCATGGAATAAACAACTCTGAGCTTGTGCCTCCTCCAAACATTCTTCTTTCCAAGCCTAAAAAAGGGGTGGAAGGGCCTAGTTAGTGTTGTTTTCTCAATATCACAAATGAAATATTGTTAAATTTCTCATTTCTTTGTTAAAAGAAAAAAATATTCAAGAAATTTCATATTTTGGCTAAGTTTTCCTGCAGAGGATAGTGACTACATTTCTCCAGGGGCATCTCTGCTTGCTTTTAAAATAGCTCCATGTATAATAGGTCATTACTGACAATTATGCTAATCTCCTCTGTTACAAAAGCTTGGGTTTCGAAATTCTGTTCTGTAGGACATATTTGGAAAGTAAAGCAAGAACACAGTGTATTCATATCCAGATCTCAGCATAAAAAAAAAAGTGAATGTCACACTGCAGATCCCTGCATCATGTGACAGTTAACTAACGCTTCATTTCTTCCACGAGAAATCATCTTAACTGCCAAATCTTACATACAACCTACAAGAGCTCTCTCATCTCTGCACCTGCTCAGGCTAGCTATACTATTCCTTCAGCAAAAAAAAAAGATTTTTTCCTTTCTAACAGTGAAAGACTAAATGAGCAAGCACAAAAATCCCACTGCCATGAGCCACCACCTTTGCAGCGAAAGAGCTGGAGGCTTGCAGGAAGAGTTCCTGGTGGTTTTTTCCCCTTAAGCTGCAAATCCTTTGGCTCTTGCTCCAGCAAACAACCTAAAAGCCTTCATGTGGGTTACGTGGAACAAGCAAAAAGGTGCTCTGGATTCTGCAAAAAGCTCTTGGCACATTGCACAATCAAGCCCCTGGAGCCTAATGGAACATGGAGTGACACCAACAGAAACACTCCCTTCACTCCTGGAGCACAGGAGGGACCGCAGCCCATTGTGCAAAGATTTTTTTTTTCCCCCCATTGAAATGGCTGTTGGGATTGACTTTGAACCTCCCTTACTGCTCTCCCTTCATGAGCATTGTCAGTGCTGAAAAAACCTTAGTGACTATGGGTTCTGAACTTGTCTGGCAGTTTCTGGCAATACTTCATGTTCGGCGTAGATTATCCTATTGGAGGAAATATCATAAATGCTTACAACTCATTCGAACTACTGCGACTAGAAAAAAAGATACTTGACTAAACTATGTTCAGACTTCTCCAATAACTAAAAAGACTAAAGGCTTCTTATAAGCCACCATAGGCTGGTTACTAAGAGAAAAACTAACACACAAGCCCTGTCCTGCCACCCGAACTCAGATTTACTCCAACCACTTTTTCGTTATTTGGACAAAGGTGGCAGAGGCAACTTTTACAGCCAGCAACCAAGCCAGACTTGAGAACTGTCATTATAAACAGAACACAACATGCAGAGCTTTTTGTTTATGGCTCTTAAATTACTTTACCAAAACAAATACGGCAAGTGAGATCTTTTAGAAGAAACTCGGTTAAGTGACATGCCCAGAGCTGTCTTGCTCACAAGGGGCAGAGAGACACAGAGGTCAAGATTACCTGATTTCTAGCAAGTGACATGCCCAGAGCTGTCTTGCTCACCAGGGGCAGAGAGACACAGAAGTCAAGATTACCTGATTTCTAGTACTGTAACTTGCCAGGCCTTCAGAAGCACAGCATACAGTTTTTAGGTCTATAGGTGAAAATTGGATTATGTCCCTGCATTTCTGGCAAGTCGCCTGCATGATCCTCAGTCTAACAAAACCTGCCTTGATCTGAAGCAGCTGCCCATCCATGGTCCAGCGAGGTCTTCTGCATATGCTCATTAGTGGCTTTTGCTGTCTTTCCCTCTAAAAATCATCCATGGTCCAGCGAGGTCTTCTGCATACGCTCATTAATGGCTTTTGCTGTCTTTCCCTCTAAAAACATCTTTAAATAACTTAGTCTGGATGCTGAAGAGATAATAGATCATTAGATAAGAGATAATTAGGGGATTAAATCATCTAGCTGTGACAAAAATGGTTTGCATGCAATTAGATAAGAGATAATTAGGGGATTAAATAATCTAGCTGTGACAAAAATGGTTTGCATACGAGATATGCCCCACTAATGGAGTATTTTTGCTCTTCATTAACTAAGATATTGGCATTAAATAATGTACAACACAGAGATCTTCCAAAGTATAACACAGGGAACTTCCAAAGTGGACACTTAAAATCTAAGCACAGCAGTACCCAGGGTGCTTTTGTAAGCTTCTACATGAAAAATCAACGTAATGCTCCAAGTTCTTGTTTCTTGCTTCACCAATCTGGCTCCCATAAACATAAGCTCCCCTGGAATCCTCCTTTTGGGGTTTTGGGTTCCTCCCCAAGAACAGGAGTAAATTAAAAAGCATAAGAAGGCAATACAGTAAAAAAATGAAAGGGGAACAGCAACAATGACTTGTTTCTTTTTGTTTTTCGCAGTGATGGAGCTACAGCCATAGAAACATCCAATTCAGGTGCACTGCAAAAGGGAGAAAATCTGCTGGTGACATCCTGAAGGTAAAAATGATTTGCCTGCCCTTCACTCGCACGGGGATATTAGCACAGACTGAAAAATTCCGAATGCATTGAGTGTTCTTCCAGCCATCTGTCTCGCCTTTCTAGGCTTTGAGACCTGCTGAGCAGGGCTTCACCACTGAATTCTTCCTACTACAGCCACCCAGGAGAGCAGCCAGGAGAGCCCTTGGCTGTAGAGATGCCCCAAACAGGCAGTGTCTCAGAATGGAATAAAAAGGGACATTTTTCACAAAGTAGTGTCCAAGAAGAGTAGATAAAACTTTACAGGGTTGAACCTATGCACATTCATAACTCTGCCTTTCAGCAACAACACCAGAGTTTGTGAACACAGCGTACAGCCCAAGTCCTGTAAAGGAACTCAGACCAAAGCGTCCTCTAGAGAAGCTGGTCTAGTGCCCGAGTTAACACACAACTGGACCCCGCATGGAAATTTTGTGAGTCTTTGGACTCAGCAAGTTACAGCAGCCACTCCATTGCTTCCATCAGTCATTTCTAGACCGTTATACCCAAATCCTAACTTTGTTTCTTTTCATGTTGCTTGCAGAAAGGAAACCTCCAAACCCCCCCACTGTACCACTAATTAATGTCCTGTCTGAGATCTGAAAAGCATGAAGGCTGCAGCTCTCTTCATTTGTCTGGTAGCATCAGCTGTTGCTATTCCAGTAAGTCCTCATCACACTATTATTACTGTGCACTTAAACCTTCCCATCCTGTGAGTCTTCTCCATTATCCCATTGACCTAGTTAAGATTTTTATTCACATGCAGATATTAAATATATTTGTCTATTCTAGACGCATCCCTTAAACCGCAAGCTTGGAACCCACAGACAGAAAACTCCAGAAAAGGTACTACTCTTGTTCTTTAAACGTTAAAAGGCGACCCATATTATTAATCTCAAATATTTAAGACACATTACCACATAGGTAGTGGTTGGCAAACTGATTTATGTTTTAAAAAGTAGGCACCCTTACCCCAGCAATTAGTACAAAGCATCTCCATAGGTTTCATTATTCACGCTCCGGGGTGTTGGAGAGATGCAGCTTATCTTGGAAAAGCACACTGGGGCTGACAAGCCAAAGACACAACTGTTGGCAGCAACGAGGCAGATAACTTCAGCAGCGCTGTGCCATTTATGTATGCTAATGACAGAGCTCACAATTCCACATTCATGCTTGACCCAAATTAAAATTCCTTTTTCTTGCACCATGTGGTTCAGACACAACAGACATTGGCTCCAAGCTGATGAATGTTCTATAACAACTCAATTCAGAGCATGCTCTGTAGAAACAAACACAAAATCCCAACTCCTATGCTAACCTTTTGTTAAAAATTATTCATTATATCCTGCTGTGTGCAGCTTTCCAGATGCATTTCAGGTCAAGCTGGATGGTGCTCTGCATTCTGAAAACTAAAAAAAAATTAACTTTTCTGGATGAAGTATCCATCAGAACAGACCATGGTACAAACACCTGTTGGCAGCCTGCAGCTGTCTCCCAGAAACAACTCCTACAGAAGGCACTTGCATCAAACCAAAACATCATTACTCAATGAATCATCAGTTCCAAGTCAATATTGCCATTAAGACAATCTTAATGAGTGTTTGGCTGTATATTTTCTTACTCTATAGCGCTGTAAGCCCTTAACAGAAAATGGCTTTTTGCTTAAAGTCACAATATGTTGTACACAGCATTGCCCAAAAAACACATGTAAAGAAAACTGCTGTTGAAATTTAATTTTCTAATGTTTTAATGTCATTTGGAGATGCTTGGGTAACACATAGAATCACAGACTGGGTTGGGTTGGAAGGGACCTTAGAGATCATCCAGTTCCACCCCCTGCCATGGGCAGGGACACCTCCCACATAGTTCACTTTTTATAAGGTCTATCAAGAAACACATATTTAATCTGAAAAAGCTCTTCATTGAATTTCTGTTAGATTTTCGCAAACCTCCAATCTTTCCCTGAAAAAGTTAGAAATGACACAGTGAATACTTTTTCTGCATCAGCAAGTACACCAGGCAAAAGGCAAACTTGTAAAACATTCAGATACCACCTTGACTTTAGGAAATGGGATACAGCTGATCTGCCAAGAGCCAAATTAATATTTCCTACCATTTTCAAAATTTGACAGCATGCAAAAAAAAAAAGCTACTCAACTACTCAAACACCTACAACTCCTGCCTGGGAGCTTATGACACAGCAGTTGCCACCAAATACAACAGTTCCTGATGGATTCAGCTAGGAAGCAATGATGCAGTGGACTCAAAGCAGATGAATATGTTGATTATCAAACATGCAGTGCACTCCTCAGGAATTACTACCATTTTTTCCTTGGGAAAGGTGCTCTCTCTCCCTGCGCCTCTCTTCCCAGGCTCCTGCTGATCCATGGAAGAAGAGGAGTATTACACCCACATCCAATGAGACAAGTGATAATTACTGCAGCCTACAAGTGCCTGAAGTTATGACACTTAATTATTAATTAAGCACTTGGAGATTTCATAAGACACCCTTACATATCTGTCTCCTATGAGATCTTAAAGAGAGCTGCACAGATTTCTTCAGAAACTGCAGCAATAAAAGAAGGGACACATAAACCAATCTGCTGAGAAATGGAAATTCCATCAGCAGTGAATTCCATGCTCTGGGCTAGCTTAAAGAGGAGCATTTACAATGAATTTTGTCATTTGTAAAAATTTGTAAAATTTGTAAAAATTTTGTAAAAAAGAGGAGCATTTATAAAGAAAACAAAGTCACTGTCATGGTTTGCAAAGGCAAAACCAACATTGCATTGACCTCCAGTAAATTCTAAGATTTATTAATCTATTTGTTAATTTTATTCTAAGACTGAAGATACTCATCCTGAAGCTGCAAAGGAAGAGAACGCAGAGTATGTAGACAAGGGTGATGTGCTGCCCAGTCCCAGAAACCTAAACCAAGAGCCCTCAGTACCAGACGCCGAGCACAGGGACGAGCCCCAGACCACTAGAAAACAAAGAAGTGGCAGCGAGCACCAAATGAAAAATAGCCTAAAAAGCATCAATTTCCTTTCGCTGCACAATAAAGCAGGTTTGGCTTCTGCTAACCATGATGGCGACTCTGGAAGCAGTGGCAGAGAAGAGTCCAGCTCTGAGCATCACCAGTTAAGGAGGCATGAGAAACACGGCAATGTGGCCAGTCGACATGTTCTGGGCAATGCAGGAAATCCACTGGATGCTCTCAGTCTTGATCGTGAGCATAACACATGGAAATATAATAAAAACACAGTTGGCCTATCTGAAGACAACCATGAAAGTGATGAAGAAGAAGATCTGGAAGAAGAGAATGAAGAATGGGGTGAAGAAACTGATTACAGAGAGATGAAGCACAAAGGCCACTGGATAAATCAAGGTTACCCATATGAAAGACAGCAAAATGAAAACAGGATGCAAGCTGATGGAATCCCGAGAGATTCCAGCCAACCAATCCGGATAACCAAGAGACATGGTGAGAAATTTGACCTAGAAGAAGAGAAGAAGGACAGCCAGAAGAAGCACCGTAACAAAGATCAGGATGACAAAGAGCAAAGCCAAGAAAGGACAGACAATATTCAAGAAAACTATCAGAGTGACCATGACACAGTGGTGAAAAGACAAGATGTGGAGGACAGTAGGGTTGATGATGGTCACGAGAGCGGTGATGTTAATGGTGAGGAAGATCTCAGCAACTCCCAGAAAGAAGCAGACTATGAGGAAGAGGAGAGAAGCCAGAGCAATGACCAGGAGAGCACCAGCACTGAGCAGGAAGGGGAGGGAACCACCGAAGATGACACTGCAGTTCACAGAGACACCCAGGATTATCAATATGTCAAGATTAAAGACGTTATTCACTTTGAACAAGACGATTATGATCATGAGCCACCTAATTCTGACAGCGAGCAACAACTGGAAACAAGAAGCTCTGTTCAGAGCATGGTTTCAATGGAACAGGAAGATAAGGTAAATTCTCTTTAAAATAAAGTTGTAATACTAGAAAACCAGGAGGGAACCAGTCCCAAATTTAAATTCCTGATGACTGAAAGGACATTTTGGAGAACAATAGGTGTTCTCCATTCTCTCATTTATTAATATTTTGCAGAAGTCTTACCTCCTTTTATTCACTATTGATCTGGTTCATGTTGCTTCACTTCACATATAACATTTAGATGAATCATACCAGAAAGGAAGCAATGACAACTCATGTAAGACCTCCAGCCCCAACGGGCTGTGTAATGAGGAGTACAAATAAACATGGATACATAGATACACCACCTGGAACCCTGTCTCAAGCCAACTAGGAAAGCCTGTTCACTCCCATCTCACACTGATTTTAAACGCTACGATCCAAAAGTGAACAGCTTGGAAAGGCAGAGCTGGAGTCCCTGGAATAATGACCATCCTGGTGACTAGGACACTGTCACTGGTGGCTTTGTCCCTTCAGACTAAGGAGGAGATTGCTCCCAGATCTCCCATTAGATAACCAGTGGACTATCAGGGGTAAAAGGAGTGAGCTTTGCTATGGGTGTTAAATAAGGATCTGTAACATTAAAAAAAAAAAATAGCAAACTATGGGAGGCATCCATTGGAAAGAGAGCACCTCCCGCACCAAAGAAGGGTCTGGGCTGGAGATGCATCCTTCCCTTCTCCTGCTTCGTGTCTCTGGCCTGGCAGCTCATGCCACTGACGCGTGAGTGAGAGGTTTTACGCACCTCTCACTGATTTTGCACAGCAACCTCTTTCTGCTACTACCAGAGCAAACTCTGCCTCACTCAGCTCTATGGTTATACCTGAAAAAAATTTTGCCCAAGTATTTTTTCTTCCCCAAATTTACCGCAACTTCTGCTTATGTCTCTGTGACTTGACAGGTTAAGACTACAGGTGGTTCCCATGGCGAGATGGAAAGCAGAGGCAACAGGAGCGAGAAGGCTGTCCTGGGTAAGCCACGAGGCAAAGCCATCAGGGAACTGCTCACTCTCTGTGGCTGGGAAATCTGCTGGGCTACATTTCTTTTCACGCCATTGGACATGACTGAACTGTGTGCCTGTGCATAATCCTGCATTCCAGTGACATTCCCAGAGAATCCCGTCCACACACCCTGGGATCTACTCATTTGTTTGGGAAAAACCTTTCTAGAGAGGGCACAAATTTTTGTGTCGGTTATACAGGGATGGGAATTATCTTGCATTGAAACTGTTCTGTTTCAGAACAGTAGCTTGAATTCAGCTAGGAACAGGATGAGTGCCAGCGCTGGATTCAGCACAGACAGATGGGATGTGTGTCGCCAAAGGAAGCTAGAAAACAATGTCAGCCCTTAGAGAACAGTATCTTTTTCCGAGAAATTTATTTCCCCATCCAACCAAAACCTGTGACTGCTAGAAGTCTCCCAAAAAACCTCATTTAAAGTTTGGCTTTATTTATTCAATACAAGATCCAGCTGCATTTTAACAAACCTACAAAAAGCCCTGGACTTCTTGGTGAACGTTGGGTTGTATTTTGCTTTGGCTGTCGGGAGTACCTGACAGAAACACTTGACTTTGTCCCAGCCCCTCTAACAGTCCCTCCTTCTTGTTCTTATCGCTAGATCCATGCAGGAACTTCCACTGTAAAAGAGGTAAAGTCTGCCACGTGGACAAACACGGTAAACCCAGCTGTATTTGCCAAGACCCCTCTGCTTGCCCTGCCACCAAAGACTATGAGCATGTAAGTATTTCATTCAGCACACAGCATGGAGGAAAAGCAACTAAAATGTTTACAAGAGAACATATTCCCTTGCTATTCTTTAGAATAATTCTACCCTAAAAAGCATGCAAGTGGGTGGAGGGTGATTCCAGAAATTATGGAAGAAAGTATAAAGTACCCAAACTCACTGACTGTAGCTTAAGAATAGTATGAATGTGTGTACCTACAAAGTACCTACAGTGATTTCCTTCACTTAAATCAGTCAGGGATCATGGCTTTTCCCTGTCATTAGAAGTACTATTTATCCCTTCGATGTTTTAAATCACATACTGAATATTAGTACTTATCTAGTGTAATAATCCTCTGCCATCTCAGAAACTCTATTACTACCATGCAAAAATAAACCCAAGTGTGTCAGTACAGCCAGCTCATCCTTACATAGGCATAGAACAATTACAATTTTAAATACTCCCGATCACATGCATTCCCTGTGGGTATTCACAACTGCTACACCACATGTTAAGAATGTTTTTATTATTGTGATGCCTAGACGAGCGACCAGAATTTTTCTCAACACAGCGGCGATGGTTCTGTTTTTCACTCCTCCTCTAGGTTTGCGGTACAGATAATAAGACTTATGATGGCACATGTCAACTCTTTGGCACCAAATGTCAACTGGAAGGGACAAAAATGGGACGCCAGCTGCACCTAGACTATATGGGCTCCTGCAAATGTAAGGTTCATTTTTCTATGAAGAATTCACCTAGGTATAAAGAGCCAGTAGCCTTAACCACCATCTAGCCCTAAGTTACCCGCTTTCTTCCTGCGGTCTCCCCCTTCTGCTTCAATTATCTGCTAATTAAGCCCTTCAAACTCTAAACATGTCTAAAAAGTCACTTTGTCTTGTAATTAAGGGTATTAGGCATCTGAGTCCTAAAGACATCCCTCCTGTGCTCACAAAAATTTGTTGCCAGCCCTGTCTTCCCCATGCCTGCCTTCCATGCTTCCGTTGCTGTAGCAGCTGAAGATGTTTTTTGAAATACCTTGATCAGAAAACCAGTATTTACAGCCAGTTAATAAATTTAAAAGTCAAAAAAACCCCCCCAAACCAACCCTAAAACATCAAACCCCAAACCACTTAGATATCAAAGGCAGAAGTTAGGATCTAAAAGCCAGGCTTGATTTCCAAGCTCTTCAACTGCTGCATCCCCTGGGAGGGAAGTGCACTCACTCCCAGACAGAATATTCCTTTGCTGTGGAGAACTCTGCTTTCATGCAATGACCGATAACAGCTTCACCGTACAACTCTGCTCAGAAGCTGCATAGATACATAAAGCTTGTGGCTTGCACAACTGGTTAAGCATGTGCAGCAAAGAATTGTAGATTTATAATTGAACCCATTAGCTGCATTCCTAATTTTCTGTATTAACAACTCCATCAATGTTAAGCTTAACTGGAAGTTTGCTAGTGAGAATCAAATCTGACTTGGCTCAGAGATGCTCAAATAGGGACCTAACAGATCACTTGTTAACAAAAACTTTCTTGTTTGGCACAGACATCCCCCACTGTACTGATTACGAAGTGGATCAGTTCCCCCTCCGGATGCGAGACTGGCTCAAAAACATCCTTATGCAATATTACGAACGTGATCTGGATACTGCTGGATTTCTAACGGAGAAGCAAAGGAGTAAGGTCAGCAACCCCTTCCAAATAAGACCATGCAGTTCCATTGTTAGAGCTGGAGAAACCACGCTAAACAAGTGATTCACATCTTACAAGCTCTCCCATTTCCTAGGAGCATTCCCTTTCTGGTTAAGGCAATTTAGACTAAATTTGACTCACAAGTTCCAAAATACACTTACATGTCCCCTCGTGCTCATTTAAGCTGAGACATATTTCTGCTATGAATGTTCCTTATGTCCAAGCAAATGCAAGACCTCTTGTGTCTACAGACAAGAGGCAGAAAAGCCATAATAAGTGCACACCTAGAGAAACATTGTTTGCTTGAGAAGACAAAAGCTTTTGTTCAGGGAAGCGCTTTGTGACAAACCTCTTGAAAGGATGACCCAACATGTAGATAAGGATGACCCAATTTGTGCAGTCAATGCCATTTTCCAAAGGGCTTGAGGAAACTAAGCAGCCACGATGGAAGGTCTGGGGATGGATAATTGATCAAAAGAGACAATAAGAGCCAAGGGCTCACCTGTAGAGAGCCACGAGTTGAAATGACTTGTGCCATTCAGCTTTTGTTGACTGATCTGGAAGAGGAAGGTAGGTGATACAGTCCGCTGCCAGCGCACAGGTATTCAAAGAAAGGAATGAAGGACTTGGACTCACCATGAAGAAAATTCCTCAAGGAGCTTGAGACTGAGTGGCTGGGCAGTCACACAGCAGGATTCGAGACAGAATTACAAGAGAGAGTTTAGGGGACCCTCCTGGGAGCAGGGGATCCCTGCCTTGGACACATCAAAAGGAGCTCCTCTGCTGTTCTTGGGACACACCTTGTCCTTGGCCATCAATACAAAAGTAGCTGAAAAATAGACTCATCAGTTAAGGACATAATTTGCACTTTTTAATCCAGCTGTATACATTCTCCACCTACACCATAATATTCCAGGGCTACAAAAGTACACAAATCTGACTCTCAGTTTTTAAGAGAGAAGAGCAGCTTTCTACCACCCAGTAGACCTGCAGTATCACACTACATTGGTTTAAAAAGGAGGAAGGATTATTACCATTGAGCCTTTTTTTAGAGAGGGATTTACATCAAGTGATTGGTGACAGTAATTTGTTTTTGAAGACACAGATGCCATAAATGCTTTAAGAGCCATAACTGCTGGAAAATAGTTGAACATAAACCAAGCCCTGGGCTGCTCTAACTCTCGAGTAAGAGTTAGGTGGAGCAGCTCTGGAGTAAGAGGTGCATGCAGTAGGTCACAGCAGATGTATATAAATATGCGTGAGGAACACCAAAGCCTACTTGCACAGTTAACCAGGAGGGACACTGACCTGCCCAGAGCTTCTCGAACTAAATGGTACAAATTAGATTATTTCTGACAGGGCTCATTTCACACCAAAAGCTGAGTTGCTTGCCTCAGGATAGAAAAGATCAACAAATGTGATAAAAACGGTTTCACCTCCTACCAACCAGAGGCTACTGCCCTGCTTAGATGGATCTGATGATCAGGTCACAGAAATTTCACTTCTTTTCCAGCTATTACCAAAGTTGACATGGACAGCAACAAAAATCATCTGGATTAATTGCAGCAAGCTTTTCTTGCTGTGTATGGTCACAAATACTAAAACCCATTTCCCCAGGGGGATTGTATCAAGTCTCATTTCTCCAACCGACCTCCTTGCTGTCTCCAGGACAGATCTTCATCCCTAAACAAAAATATCAATTTCTCTGTTGCGTTCAGGTGAAAAAAATCTACCAGAATGACAAGCGCCTCGGGGCTGGTGACCACCCAGTGGAGCTGCTCCTGCATGACTTTGAGAAAAACTACCACATGTACGTGTATCCTGTGCACTGGCAGTTCCATCAGCTTGATCAGCACCCTGTTGACAGGTAAGAAAAAATCAATCTTTGTGGGTTTGGTTCTGATTTTGTGTTTCAGCTCAGGCTGGCTTACTTTTCTAAACCACTCAAAGGATTCTCTACATGCAGGACCAGTCCCTCAGCTGACGGAAGCTGGTATCCTCCTCTTTCTCGGGAGGCATTAATCTCTAACACAGAGCTTCTCTCATGGTTTTGCTGGAGCCATGTCTTAGCTCAGAACCTGCAGTCCTCTTGCCTTTCACAATCATCACGTATTACAGCTTAAGCTCTACAGTGTCTTATGAGCTCCTAATGTCCTGATCCTGGAAGAACACAAGGCTGATGAGATGCAGTTGTTACTAAAGGTCAGAGCAATCAGCTAAAGGACAAAGGGCAGAGCCCTCCCAGCAATATTTCACTAGTGAGGCACCCAGAGTTTTCAACTCATACTACAGATGTCTTTCAGTTTAAAGAGCAGGTATGGTAAGACAGCAGCAGTGTCACAGTTCAGAGGAAGCTTCCAGCTGACTTCTGCGAATGTGACTCAGATTTCAGGCTCTTGGTCATGACTCTTGGTGGTAGGCTCTATGTTTCAAGGCTGCAGGCTCTCAATACCTTGTGTAGATTGCACTGTCTTTGAACATAGCTAAGCACCTTTGCAAGCTTGCTCTCCCAAAGATCAATGGCCAAAGGACACAACTGATGAGTTGTAACTAAGTCACTGTGATACTTGTTCTAGAAAAAAAATGTTAGCAAACAAATAGAGGTTGAAACATTTTACTTTATCAGGTATTATACATCACCCTAGTGACCTGGGACAGATTCACTACATGAGCACCACAAGAGAATCCACCACAGCATCTCTGTCAAAGCCACCGTTGTCACCATCTACCAGCTTAGATCATCTTTGATGATCCTGATGATTTACTAATGAAACACAGCTCTACAGAGCCTGCTCTTTCTTTCAGGTTATTATCACACTCAGAGCTAGCACCTTTGCGAGCCTCCCTGGTTCCCATGGAACACTGCATAACCCGGTTCTTCCAAGAGTGCGACGGAGACCGAGACAAACTCATTGCTTTGAAGGAATGGTGCCACTGCTTTGGGATTAAAGAAGGTAAATCTAAAAGAACAGGCAGATGTACTGGACAAAATGTTCCTGCCAAGACCAAGCACATTCTCAGATCACAACATACAGAAAATAAATTGTAGCCAGAAGCTCACGGCTACTGTGCACGGAGGCAAATGGAATAGTAATGACAAGATGGTGAAAGGTGCAAGGTTCTGAATTGTTTTATAAAGATAGGAAAGAGTCATCTAGGGGTTGGAACTAGACGATGTCTAAGGTCCCTTCTAACCCAAACCATTCTATGATTCTATGATCTCTTCCATGAGGAAGAGCTTGGGAGGTAGTTTGTACTAAATACCAAATCATTCCTGTGTGCTGTCTGAACCTTTGTGCTTTTAGATCAGTGGACAAAGCATATTGATTGAAAACACACTTAAAGATCTCAGGCCAAGGAGGGAAAACAATGGAGACCTCTCACTGACAAAGTAACTGTACTCACCTCTCGATTACTTTACACAAGGGCTGCCGTCACCCTGCAGTTGCAGGTAAACAGCCTGTTTTACCTGCCAGATGCAACACGCGCTCAGATGGTGCCCACCAGACAGCACGCATCAGGAGGCTCAGACAGAAGCAGGGAGAGTCTTTGAATCATACATGGGCTGGGCAAGTTTGGTTCAGCTCAACCCACACACCAAGACTTCTCTAGGAAAGCAAAAAACTAGGTACTGCTGCTGGTGGCATCTCTACAATTAGGCAGCAGCTGAAAGAAGCTGTTATTACAGCAATTTGCGATTTACATTACTACATTCAGCCTAAGGCATTCTTTCACAATCTACCTTTTTCTAACCCCATCCTGAGTGGCAGCTGAGCAATACCATCAGTCACCAAGAACAGCAAGCACAGGTTAATCCTACAACAGTTACACAGCATTTGGCTAAACTCGCAGACTGAAGAAATGTGTTCGAAATCCTATCAGCAACTACTATTCTGAATACAATAGCAGCAACCATATGTGGGGTTTTTTTTGCTAGGGATAGTATTCCCCTACGTGAGCCCTCTGAAACTTTGGTGTGTCACTTTCTTGATAGTGATACAGCATAAAAATGTCTCTTTGGCATCAAGCGTTCAAATGCTAATAACATTCTCTTCTTCTCTGTTGCAGAAGACATAAATGAAAATCTCCTGTTCTGAGCCTGGCAGAACAGAATCCCAGTGCTGCACTGAAACTAGTGAAATACGTGAAATCCATTTATTTCTGGAATTAACAGCTCCATAGTTTTTAAGACAAAGGTGGCATAAGGCTCACTGCATTCTTCTCAAGTAACACAAGTGCAGAAGAGTTCTACATTCATTAACAGCAGAAAAATGTAACTACTCCAAGGGGTTCATAGCTAAACCACCAGTGTTTTCCCCTACATAATCTCTCTGAGCCACTAAATAGTACTAACCTGATGACTGAGCTGTTCACAAAAACTCTTCTTCAGTAGAATTATAGGATGGGGATTTTATAATATGCTGAAGAAAATTACCTTGAAATAGGACTTGTTTATTTACTGTATTGTCAGTTTAACATTCTGCATAGAAGCCTCAAATAAAACAAAGATCTATGTAGATATATGGGCTTTGTCAGAAGTTTATAAAATAAAAGGTATCAAGGCATGAGTGCAACAGAAATTTCACTTTAGATTTCAAGGAAGAGAAGAAACTAGAGTGTAGATCATACACACCAGTCCTTAAACCGTAATTCTTAACATAATACGGAAAAATCATCACTTTGCAGATACTTCTTCCCCCACCCCTTGAAACACAACAGGAATATCACCAATGCCACACAACAGCTCATTACACAGTTTGTCAGCGGGAATTTAATTGTATGAGCACGGTGAGTGTGGATGTGTGTCAGACTGATTAGCAACATGTCCACCACCGCAATGAGCGGAGGATATCACAACTCCAACACCTCCTTACTCTCCTTAACAGGCATATTCTTCCTTCCTCCCACCGAAGCACCAACCACTGCTACCATTTTTCCTGAGAAAGAAACATTATTTCTTTCCCCATTTCCCAACTTTTGCTAGCCTGAAGATAATGTAATGGTTTGACGTGGCTGGCAATGCAATACCACACAGCCACTCCCTCACCCTCTTACAGATGGGGGAGAGAATTAAAGGGGTAAAGGAAAAAGAGACTCATGGGTTAAGATGAGATTGTTTTGGAAATGAGTCCCACTGTCTGACTCAGCTATTTCTGGGGTGCCATGCAACCACAAAACTTGCTTTTCAAGGCCCAGAATATTGTTCTGGCTGTGGCATGGGGCACAGCATATGTTTCCAACCATCCGGTGGTTGCTTCCACCATTGTGAGCATATAGCGCTTGCTATGGCGAGTTTGTGGGAGCGTGATGTAATCCATCTGCCGAGCCCCTCCACATTTCAACCAACGTCTTCCAAGCAAACTTCCAAGTTTTAACCACTTGGCTTGCTTAATTGCAGCACGAGTTTCCCATTCACAGATAACCTGTGCAATAGTGTCCATGGTTAAGTCCACCCCTCAATCACATGTCCATCTATACATTGCATCTCCTCCTTGATGGCCTGAAGCCTCATGGGCCCAGCAAGCTATAAAATATTCACCCTTTTGTTGCCAGTCTAGATCCACCTGAGACACTTTAACCTTAATAACCCAATCCACCTGCTGGTTGTTTTGACATACCTGACTCTTGGATACATGGACAACTACATGATGTACCTCTACAACCAGCTTCTCTACTCAGGCAGCAGTGTCTTCCCACAGCGGGGCAGCCCAGCTGGGTTTGCCTCTGCGCTTTTGTTGCTCTGCTTCCACTGCTGCAACCACCTCACAGGGCATTTGCCACCATCCACAAGTCAGTGTAGAGACAGAGCACTGGCTGCTTTTCTTGTTCAGCAATATCTAAAACCAATTGAATGGCTTTCACCTCTGCAAACTCTGCACCTTGTGAGTTCAGGTAACGACAGATTTAATAATACACCACAAGAAAAAGAAGATAACAATGTCAATCATAGAATCACTGGATGGTTTGGGTTGGAAAGGACCTCAAAGATCATCAAGTTCCAACCCCCTGCCATGGGCAGGGACACGCTCCACTAGACCAGGTTGCTCAAAGCCTCATCCAGCCTGGCCTTGAACACCTCCAGGGATCAAAAGGAATACACAACACACCTGCTCACCACCCAAAGCCCAACAGTTAGCCCAAGCTGCAAAGACCCCCACCTCTCCCGGCTAGCTCCCCCGGATATCCTGGGAATTGAATATCCCCTTGGCTGGTTAGGGTCAGCTACTCTGGCTCTGCCCCACTCCCAGCTTCTGTGAAAATTAACCCTACCCCAGATGAACACAGGATAGTTTATAACCCATGTCTACTCTACTGCCTCCACAACAGGCAAATAGGATGTTCTTCAACAAATTTACAGTTCACCTTGCATCCAGCAAGTACACACTGTGCTTTACACCCTCAGACCTGTCCCCAGAAAAGACCACAGAGACGAGCTGTTGATGTCAGTGGTCTTCAACAGATCCAACATAACGCCAGCTTCTTCTGAATTGCATCCTACATGATTTTCCCCAAATATATGGATTAAATTCATTTACCAGTTCAGACTTTTCTACTAAAATAACCACCAAACAGAAGGACAAAGCAAACACTAACTGAAAACTAAATATTTAGAGACTTGGTCTTCCAAGAGCTTTTTGATTAACCTGCATACAATCAGACATCAGAAAGCACAGCTCTCCAACTCCAAGTATGCTGCTAGTATGCAGCTTGTCTCAAAAGGTGGCAATGATTTCAGTTCAGAAAACTTGTAACACTCCCTCAGAGAGCAGCTTCAGTGCTCTAGGCATTATCACACAAGTATTCCCCCCGCATCGCTGAAGTGCAGAACCCTAAAGCCAGAACATCTATATTGAAAAAACACACACAACAAATACTCCTTTTATAACACACACGCTTCCACTGCCAAATCTGTCAATCCTCCACGGATTAATAGGGGTCATAAAAAAAAAAAAAACTGGATGCCTTTTCAGCTGAGAAGTAAACTAAACATCCCAAAGGTCTCAAGAAGGTACAATTCATGACGTCTTGTGGCTTTCTGATGCAAGCCATAGCACTCAAAACCATATATATAGACACAGCCATCCACACAATACTATTGCTGGAGCCAGCCAACTTCTTCTGATCCACTGATCAGCTCTTCAACATGCAATCCAAAGGTAATACAGATGCCTTCATGTTCCCTGGACTAAATTTCATAACAAAAATCATTTAGGGTATGGCTGTACACTGCATGATTGTGAATGGGAAGGAAAAAAATCCTTTTTTCCACAGCAAGGGCAGTCAAGCACAGGCACAGGTTGCCCAAAGAGGTTGTCAGTTCTCCATCCTGGGAGATGCTCAAAACCTGCCTGGACAGAGTCCTGGACAACCTGCTCTAGCTGACCCCGCTTGAGCATGTATGGGGAATGGACTGAACTATCTCCAGAGGACCCTGCCAGCCTCAACCATCCTGTGAGTCTGAAACAAGAACATGGGACAAGAACTACTCAGAGAAATACTACTGCTCTGCTGCTAAGAACAAAAAAATTGCAAAAGGCTACCTTGCTTTGTCAGGGAAGAGTAAAATTAGGAAGAGGCAAAAATCAAAGACAAAAATAATGAGAAGTAAAATGCTGGTAAGATCTCAAAGCACAGACAAGGCAGCAGGAAGCAGAAGCATAGCAAATGTTACTCCATAATGACTTATTCCAACCACGTACGCAAGCAACTAAGATAGAGAGATAATTAAGGACACATGACAAGTCGGACCCAACTGGGAACACAGCTCCTGCTGTCCAGTTTTCCTTGCCCTACATGGAGAACCACACTCCCCCAGGTCTTTCCTTTAGCCAGAACAAGGGTGCTAACTCTGTTTTCTGTCTGCTTCACAGGACTCTCTCTCAAAACACAATTCCTGTTGCTTTCTTGTTTGCTGAACATGGTCCTTGCCGTTGCAAACGCAGTAAGTACTGAACAAGAAATTAAACAAGCATCTGATGCGGGAAATGTTAACACTGTAAAAAGAAAATCCCATGGCTTTTCAACTAACACAGCAGCCTTAAAAATACTCATTTGGTACAGGCCTAAACTTATTTATCTTATTACTGTTCTAGATTCTCAACTTATTATTGAGTCCTCCTCAAAGAAAAAATGGTTAAGCACCAGTAACAAGCTCATATCCAGCCCAACAACAGGACCCATCTTTTCTCCATTAGCTATTTCAACTGACATTATTACAGACATTGGAGATTAATAAGTTCCCTTTGCAGAACTCTTTGCTTTCTAGGAGGAAAAGAAAAAAAAATCAAAACCAAAATGAAGCAGTTGATAATTTATTTTTTAAAAGAAACACGGGCAGGAGGAATTATATCTTACTCCAAAAGAAAATTCATTCTTTTTCTACAGGATAGCAGCAGTATTGAAAGCTCCGGTTCAGACAGCATAGAGGATGTAACTTTTTTCCTTGTAAGTTAACAGATCGCACTATTTCTAACATTTGTATTTAACTGGGGTTTTCAGTACTGAGCAGGAAAATACTGACACAAGATGTCGTTCTTTTCACAGAAACCACACAAGTTGATCAAAGTCGTTGGTCGTCCCTTTAAACGCCCAGGCCACTGGGCTCCTCTGTGGCCTTATAAACTCAACGTCTGAGGTAACCGAACTGTCCGGTACAAAGGGACACAGGACTGCAGGAAGCTTTAGCTGGCAGGGAGCGTTCCACCAGGGATACTGGAAGAGCAGCTTCTGAATGACAAATGAAAGAAGGGAGCTGGGGAGGGACTGGGATTTATCTTTGAAGCTCAGAGTCATCCACTTTGCTTTCTAATTACCTAATTCTACAAGGTAACTGTGGGGTTTTCTTATTTAAAAAATTCTATTTCTTCAGCTGAAAAAGAGGTAACATAACTTTCTCAAAATGCTGCTGCTGTGCTGCTGTTCCTTAGGTATTCTTTGATATTCTTATCCTAAAATAAGATTATAAAATAATTCCAAGATAAAATAATTTTAGGGATTCTCATCCTAATCCTCGGGAACAGGTAATCTCTTAGATATTTAAAAGGAGTAGTTTAGGATAAAAATTAGAGACACAACACATGACTGAAAAATAACACTT